CAAGGAAGAGGAAAGAAGTAAGTCTGGACTCCAAAAACAGAAGAATAAGAAATTGCAGACTGGGCGTGATCACTATTGTCAGTGAAAGTGATCACTTCAGAGCTCAAAGAAGAAGGAAAGCTCTGCGTAACCACTTTTATCATTAAAAGTGATAGTTCCAGAGAGGCAAAATATCAGGAAAGCTCTGCGTAACCACTATTGTCATCAAAAGTGATCATTCCAAAGAGTCTTCAACTTGGCGAGTTGCGCGTAGTCACTTTTATCAGCAATAGTGATAACGCGCAACTACCTTGGTTCTGCGTTGTCACTTTTATCATCAAGAGTGATAGTTCCAGAGAGCTCTCAATATCAGGAAAATGCGTGTGGCCACTATTTCTGGGAAAAGTGTTAACGCGCAACCAAAAACTCTCTGCGTAACTACTATTTCTCATAAAAGTGATGACGTGAAAATCTGGGAAATTTTATAAATACCAGAAACGATCCAGAAATGAGGGATTCTGTTCATTTTCAGTTTTTTTAGTTAGCTTCTTGTTAGAGGAAGTGAGAGAGAGGAGTGGGGATTCGAATCTTGGAGCTTCACGAAAAGGAATTGGAGTGGAGCAAGCTTCTATGCCGTTTTTGAGTTTCTTCTTCTCTTTATTTTCTTTTCTCTGCTGCCATGGCTATGTAATTCATTCATAGTTAGGGATTGTAGATCTGAAACGAACATGTTGAATTGATTTGGATCTGAATTTCAAGTTTGGAATAAATTGAGTGATTGATTCTGAACTTCATGTGAAAATTGAATGGGAATTTGATTAACTAAATTCAGAGGAACTCTTGTCAATGGAAATTGAATTTGTTCTTCAGATCTGAACCAATCACCGAGATTATATTTTTCTTAGGGATAAGTAGTATGTTGGGATAGCAGTAATGATTGACTTTGTTAAAATTAAACGTCTTGCCTTATTAAGGAAACTAAACATCCAATTAGCAAACCTATATTGAATTTTCTCCATAATAAAGTAAAAGTGTCTTCTTTTCACTCTATCTGAGATCATTGGAAAGCCCAAATTACTTGAGATAGATGTGAGCTTAGCTTGTTTCCAACAATTGATACCAACTGAAGCATAAGCTTGAGAATTTATCAAGTTAACCTTTAGACCCAACACAACACTAAACTGGTTGAGAATTTCCTTTATGATTCTGATTTAAGAGCTTTAAATTTTGGAAAATAAAAGCACATTATCAACAAAAAGCAAATGCAATATAGTTGGTTCATTTTTACTAACCTTAATTGGTTGTCATTGCTTATTCCTCCCATAATCTTCTAGAGTAAGAACCAACATCTCTATACATAAAAGGAAGAGATATGGAGAGAGTAAATTATCTTGGTAGAGGCTACAATTTGAAGAAAATGAAGGAAGCTTATTCCTATTTCATAAAACACTCATGGATAATGGATAATAAGAGCCACTATTGTATTTAGAAACTCAAAATTTTTGAGAGTATACGTTAAAAATCCATAATTAATGTGATCATAAGTCTTTTCTAAGTTTAATTTAAAGGCAATGTCCTCTTTTTTCCTCTTGAACTTGTGCGTCCTATAAAATATTTCTTGCAAAATAATTGTATTGTTAGTAGTACCTCAACTTGAGAGGAAACTATTTCAGAGAAGAAACTGTTTCATAAAAATTATGTAGTAAGAGGTGCAATCCGAGTCGTCTCCCAATGATGATAATGTTATACGATTATAAATTTAGATGAGGTTTGATTTATAAAATAATGCTGATTAGAATAAAAAGTTAACAAGAATTTAAAACTCTAATCCAAGAATTTAGAAGAACTATGACTACTTTATCACCGGATTCTAAGAAGATGCATAAACCAACAAATTAGTGATTAGCAAAAAGAGAAAGAAGGAAGAGATGAAACCAAATTTTGTTGTTGAATAAATTGCAAAACCGATCCTCAAGAGTGTCTCAATCCTTTTTCAATCCTTGGACTAGATGAAAGTCTAAGCCTCCATTAATGGAGGAAAGAAAAAAGTAAAAAGGGAAGAGAAAAAGAGGAAGAAAACAAAAACCCTAAAACATAAACCTAGTCTAACCTAACGTCCCTCGTCGTAACCTGCTGCCCTAATTTAAATACAGGCTCCTAAGGGTCAAAACATAAAACCTAATTAATAATTATTCAATTACATTAATCCTCTACTCAATAGCTGTCTTTGGAATCCTTATTTGTTCAAATTCAAATTCTAGAGGGAAAGTTATGCTTGTAATTGCTGCTCAGCATCCATGCTGAATGCGAGAAGATATTGTGTGGCATTTTTGGCCATGCAGATCTGTCCTTTTGGATTTTTGATCTGTCCTTTTGGATGTTAGCTTCAAAACGCAATTGGATGGGCTTAAACGGATATCTGTGGACTGAGATATGGCCCAAATACTGCACCAAGGTCAGAAACCGCGACTGCAACATTCTAACTTTTTTCAGGTCCAGTTTCAGCTTCTTATCATCAGAATTGGATTCTAACCTCTGCATAAGAATTGTTCGTCTTTCTCTTAGCTTTCCTACAAATCAAGAATAACAATGAAATGAGTTCTACAACTCAAGATATGGTCCAAAAACCAAAACAGTATCAGAATTTGCCAAATACTGAAAAAATTAAATAAAGCCCACATAAAATTCAAACATCATAAAATGATCCAATTTAAACCAATTAGGCACAAAAAAAGATTAATGAGCTAGGAATAAAAGGAAATAAGGTTATAAAAATCCAATTGATCAAATTCCTCCACACTTAGCTCTTGCATGTCCTCATATAAGATACAATCAAGCAAATAAAAACATGTAACCTAAAAAATCATAGAATAATCAAAATAAATAAATTCTCCAATGAATCCTTAGAAGTGCTGAACTTAGGGACACAAGATCAAATAAAGCATCAAGAGTTCTACAACAATCAAACATCCAACTCCTAACCTCTGAAAAATGCAAGCCAAGCAATATCATTCAAAGTGTATAGATCAAGCATGAAAGATCTCACAAGATGGTGTATACAACTCAACTCTCAAGTGTATGGTTCAAAGTGTTTCACTCAAGTCACCTCAAAAGACAATGCATTACCATAAGCTTGTTAATCTTCTACTTCTCCACTACTTACAATCATATGCAAACACAAATCAAGAGGGCTTTATTCAATGGTTGTAATGGGGCTAATGTAAGGGTAGGAAAATATGAGGATATGACAAGATACAGCCGAAGAGAATAGGAATAACATTGGTCCTTAGACAAATCAAGCCATAACACACATTTACTTTCCTTGGACTTTCTTTTCCCTTTATAAAAAATTCCCATTTTCTTTGTAATTTATTTTTATTTTTTTTTCTTTTTCTTCATTTTTTTCTCTTCTTGCATTCTTTCCGAACCCCCACACTTGAAATGCAATAACATTAATGAAATCAATGCACTTTTTATTTCCTAAGGTTAGGTATAACATGGTTTTCCACTTAAAGTTTATAATGTGCTAGAAGTCAAAGAATTGTCAATAAGGCTCAGAGGGGCTAAACAAAGGGCAAAATGGAAGGTAAGCTATATGGCCAAGTGGGTAAAAATTTGAAAGCAATGCCTCTATCATGTTCATAATTGCATATGAAAATTATAGACTCAAAGGAGAATCAAAACAAGTTCTAGAATGACAAAATCTAAGAGGAAAAACACACAAGAAAGAAAAGAATGGCATGAATTTCAACCATCCAAAAATAAGGCTCAAAAGCTCACAAAGGTAAAGTCTAACATACTCAATCATACAAATCAAAATCAAGCACCCAATTCGCATATATTAAGAGGAAGAAGAAAAAATGAAATCATGTAGGAACTCTATCCTCCTTAATGACTAATGCCTTAACTTAACAACTTCCAATTCAACAAAGGAAAACAAAACAAAAACAATGCTAAAAAATAAAAATAAAAAATATTTATTTATTTAATTTTTATCAATAACCTATCATTCTCCCTCCCACACTTCAATTTTACATTGTCCTCAATGTAATGTATAATGGAAATGTAAGTAAAATATAGTAAGGAAAGGAAGAGGGGAACTCCTTAATCAAGCATAAATGGTCACTAGTAAGCGGACCTCCTCAGTGGTCTCCAAGGGTACGTCCTCATGAAATGGCTTCAAGCGGTGGCCATTCACTGTGAGTACTTAATTCGTTCCAGGCTCCAAAATCTGCATAGCACCATAGGGAAAAATCTTAGTCACGATATAAGGACCAAGCCACCTAGAACGAAGCTTACCAGAAAAGAACTTGAGGCGAGATACTCAAATGCAAGACCATTATTGAATACAGAAAATAAATTGAAAACTTCTAAAAGAAAAAAATAATAATTGTGAGTTGTATCCCTAGATATTCCTCCTTTTTCTCATAAACTTGCAGCACTTCATTTAATTGGGAACATGGAAGAAATAGCCGCGGAGGGATTTCCAGCTGCTTCATGAACTTAACAAGTTTCTCTTCATGCTCTTCATTTACTTGATGTGCAGAACATCGTGTCTTGCTACTGTACCTAGGCTGCTCCCTTGAATAAACAATGATGTAATATTTATATTTCAACTGCTCAGGAAATGGCTTTAACTCAAATGCAGGGGGCAACTTTAGAGAAGGAGGCAGTGTAAAAATTGGAGCTGAATCTTCCGTGGATGCATCATGATTTACTTTTTCAGAATCTGCAATAGCTACATCAAAATCACCATAAACATATGTATTAATCTCAACATAGATGCTACATTTTGCAGAATCATTACATGCATTGTAAGTAAAAGAATTAGGATAATTGGCTAGGTTAGGATAATTAATACAATCTGAAAATTCAGAAAACTCAGCCAAATTATCATCAACTAAATCATTCAACAAATTATCATATAAAATCGAATGAAATGGAAGAGGAATATATTGCTCAAGATTTTCTTCTGCCTCGGTAGAAGTGGCATGAGCAGTAGGAGAAAATTCTACACTTACTGGGCTGCAATCACTTGCTGAAGCAGTAGCACTAAGATCTTCATCTATTAGTTGCTGCTCTTGCAAGTCTTGAATAGTCTTTCTTGAACTCAAAGTAACATTCTCTGGTTTAACAATTGGTTGTACGGAAAGATTACCAGGACCTTGAGACTTCAGCTCGTTTACTGTTGTTGCCAACTGACCAATCTGATTTTTCAAGTTTTGAATGGATGCTTCTGTTCTTAGTTGAAAATTCAGATCGTTAATTGCCATCTCTCCCTTATCAACTCTTCCAAGGAAGGCTCATTCTTGGAAGGTGCAACATTTTGTGGTGGGGGTTGATATTGTTACTGCGTAAAATTCTCCCATCCCAAGTTTGGATGACTCATCCAACCTGCAGGCTCATACAATGTAGGACAGAAATCAGTATGATGTTCAGGTGAATTACAAATTTCACACAGCATTGTAGCCATTTGTGACAATGTCAACTGCTCAATCAGAGAAGCTAAATCATCTAGCTTGTTCTCCAGTCTTCTATGATCAGCTATATAAAAAATTCTCTGAGCCATAATATCTAAATAAGAATGAAAAGAAATAATTTTTTTTAGAAACCACCAACCGGAATCTAACCTATTTCCATTGCGTAGATCTCGTCGAGCTATATGAAATGCATATATTACAATAAGAAATAGGAGTTGTATGCAAAAAGTTATGTCACTTTTAAGTTTGGAAAGAGATCTACACGTTCAAATACACAGCGGTGTACTTTTTCGACGAATGCAGAATGCAAAAATGCAGAAACACAACATAAAATATAGAGAATTGAATGATGTAATACTAAGCAAGGATAGATGACTACCTACTATGCTATTCAAAGGCTACTAAAACAGAATGCATAGACATAATTATGCTAAATGAAAAATGCTAATTATAGAGAATCCTAATTCGATGAAAAATGCTAATTATGCATAATCCTAATTAGATGTAAAATGCAACACAGAATATGCAATGCAATCACACTAACACAGAATTTCATAATCAAATAATATCATCATCCTCGGCAATGACGCCAAAATTTGATCGCGAGTGTCGCGCTCGGACAAATTATTAAAAACTGAATTGCATAAAAATTATGTAGTATGAGGTGCAATCCGAGTCGTCTCCCAATGATGATAATGTTATACGATTATAAATTTAGATGGGGTTTGATTTATAAAATAATACTGATTAGAATAAAAAGTTAACAAGAATTTAAAACTCTAATCCAAGAATTTAGAAGAACTATGACCACTTTATCAGCGGATTCCAAGAAGATGCATCAACCAACAAATTAGTGATTAACATTAAATTTGAATGAAACCTCAATTCAAATTAAGCATTCACACAAGAACCCTCATGTATTCGATTAACACACAATTCGCTCAAAGTTCATAAATCTCTAGAACCTAATCGATTTGCGTTAATTTAATTCACCAATGCCATTAATCTTAGATCTCAAACCTGAAAATCTAATTCATATTCCTTCAAGAATTAATTACATACATCAACCGAATAATATATAATTAAACAACTGCACAATTATCAATCCAAACAAAGAACTTCAATTCGAAATCATAATTAGCAAAAGGAGAAAGAAGGAAGAGATGAAACCGAATTTGTTGTTGAATAAATTGCGAAACCAATCCTCAAGAGTGTCTCAATCCTTTTTCAATCCTTGGACTAGATGAAAGTATAAGCCTCCATTAATGGAGGAAAGCGAAAAGTAAAAAGGGAAGAGAAAAAGAGGAAGAAAACAAAAACCCTAAAACATAAACCTAATCTAACCTAACGTCCCTCGTCGTAACCTGCTGCCCTAATTTAAATATAGGTTGCTAAGGGTCAAAACATAAAACCTAATTAATAATTATTCAATTACATTAATCCTCTACTCAACAGCTGTCTTTGGAATTCTTATTTGTTCAAATTCAAATTCTTGAGGGAGAGTTATGTTTGTAATTGTTGCTCAGCATCCATGCTGAATCCGAGAAGATATTGTGTGGCATTTTTGGCCGTGAATATCTGTCCGTTTCGATTTGTGATCTGAAGAGAAATTGTAGCCCTGGATGTTAGCTTAAAAACGCAACTGGAATGGGCTTAAACAGACATCTGTGGACTGAGATATGGCCCAAATACTGCACCAAGGTCAGAAACCGCGACTGCAACGTTCTGACTTTTTCCAGGCCCAGTTTCAGCTTCTATCATCAGAATTGGGTTCTGACCTCTCATAAGAATTGTGTGCCTTTCTCTTAGCTTTCCTACAAATCAAGAATCACAATGAAATGGGTTCTACAACTCAAGATATGGTCTAGAAAACAAAACAGTATCAGAATTTGTCAAATATTGGAAAAATTAAATAAAGCCCAAATAAAATTAAAACATCATGAAATGATCCAATTCAAACCAATTAGGCACAAAAGAGGATTAATGAGTTAGGAATAAAAGGAAATAAGGTTATAAAAATCCAATTGATCAAGGTCCAACAAAGTCATTAATAATTTTATTAACAAGCACCTTTGTAATGATTTTGTAAATGACATTGCAGAGGCTAAAGGTAAGAATTCTTTCAAATTGCTAAGACAGTCCACTTTTGGGGTGAAAAAGTGGTTCATGCCAATATTGTTGATCCAATTTTTTCATGCCCAAACTATGATTTTTAAAGGAGGTCAGAATTTCTTGAAATTGCTATGACGATCCACTAACTAGTTTGCTTATATTGCTACCCACTTTATGTCAATATTGTTTATAAAAGATTGTTTGAAATGCATCAAGTCTAGAAGTCTTGTACGAGTGCATAACATGGAAAGCTAGGGAGACCACTTTTTTTGTTATAGGCTACTACAAATTGAAAACATCATCAGGTGTGATTGTTAGCATATTATCTAGATGAAAACATAAGACTAATCATAAAAAAGATTCACAAAGAACTTATGAGATTTTTTATGTGACAAAATCATGAAAACACTATATACCATTAGGAAGAGTGAGACTATGAATTTTATTCCTTCTCCTTCTAATCATAGTTTAAGCATGAAAAAAATAAGATGTTACGTCTCCAAGTTTAATCTAATTCTTTTTGGATTTTTTGTAGCATAGATGTGCCTTCTAAAAAAGAATTTTTTTATACCTATATTGTAGCTACCTTTCAAGATGAGTTAAATAAGCCAAGTCAACCCTTTCTAACCATCTTTGAATCCCGCTAATTTTGACTTCAATATTTCTTTTGTTTTGAGTAATATTATCAAAGGTTTCATTGTTGAAAATGATAGAATCCTCTCTAACCTTCTGAAGTGATAAAAGGGGATTTTACCTACCTTTCTAACCTTAGAAATGATTGAATCATACTTTGTGAACTATCCAGGCTACTTGAAAGTGAAAAAGATCATTAACCAAAGTGCAAAAGAGTAAGTATTTGCACAAAGGCTTCAACAAAGATCATTAACCAAGGTAGATTTGTGACACCTTCGTCTAATTTCTTTGAAAGAATGTATTGACAATTACAATTCTTATGTCAAGTGAATACGCAACCTAATAAAGGAATATTAGTTAAGCGACACTCATTAAGCCTAATATTGAATGCCATAGTCTTGCTGTATGAATAAATCTCACCTTTTTACTCAAAGGAAATTGCACCTCGTTAAAGTCTCCAAAGAGTAGAAGAATTGGCATGAACACCCCTTACACATCTCTTCTTTTCTGGTGGTCATAGGACTAACATAAACACAAGCGTAGTGTCATTCTTTGTCCATTATCACTATTTAAATAATGATAAAGTGAGGGTTAATATGAGTGATCATAAGGTTACTAATTATTTTCTTGAGCAAGAACCAATAAAACACCTAAGTATTGTTAGACCTCAATTATTGACACTAGTAAATAACCCACTTTCTTCTAAATTTGAGAAGTTTCAATGTGAGTCTCATAAACAAGTATCATAGGTTGATATCTACTAATAAGATCTTTGACATGCATTTGCCCCCTCCAGTTACCAACTCTTCTAATATTCTAGAAGAGAATTGAAAGTTCTTTAAATTCTAACATCATGATAAAGTGAGCTATGAGGGTACGAGATTTAAGCATTGTGGGTGTTAGGCATTTGTATTACATGTGACCCTGTCACATTCTTGGAACATGGGTCTGGAAAATTGGCTTGCTGAGGGCTTGCTATTTGTTACCTCTTCGTCCCTTTTTTTTCATGGCCAATGGTATGGAGATCACTCCTTTTATCTTTTATTGGATTTGAGAATTTTAACTTTGGATCCTTATTGTAACGCCCCAAATTTTGTAATATTATTTAATTATTAAAGTATATATATATATATATATATATATATATATTTATGTGTAGATTACCCTACGAGATGTGTTGATTGACATGAGGATGATGTGCATATGTGTGTAATGATGTGGACTTGTATGAATATGATTGTGAGAAGTTCGTATAGTGTGGTTGGAATATAATGTGAATTGTGACTGGACTAGAGTAGATTGAATATATATATATATATATATATATCTATGTGTGTGTGTGTGTGTGCATGTGTATACAAGCTAAGTGTGGATGCTGCTGTTGGGCATTCTCTCTGTAGCAAGAGGGCTCTGGACGTGAGGCATGAAACTATGTCGTTCTCGTTGTAGCGAGAAAGCAATGGGAAAAAGGGGTGAAACAGTCGCCTTGTCGTTGTAGCGAGAGGTCTCTCACTGTAGCGACAAAACAACAGTTTGGATTGCATTTCTGGGTGCAGTCTCACTGTTGCGAGAGGCTCTCGCTGTAGCGGGAATCTGCAGAAACCAAGGTGTAGTTTTCTCTGATATTTTTGCTGTAGCGACAGAGGGTGTCACTACAGCGAGAGATACCTTGCTACAGCGAGTGTCTCCCTGTAGCGAGAGTGTCGCAAGCAGAAGGGTATTTGAAGGGGTTAGGGTTGGGAAATTCATTTCCCATCTTTCTTCTTCAAAATCTCTTCGATCCTCTCAATCCCAAACCCTATTCCACTGATTAAATTGCCTCCAAAGCCGTTCTTGAGCTAGATTGAAGATTGGATTCATGTTGGGAACGCTTGGAGGTGAGTTTCCATGGTTAGGGTTTATGATTTCTCATCCCCACTTGCTGTTTTCTCAGTTCTCCTTAGGTTCTCATAGAGTTTCTATGTGTTTTAGGGGCAAAATTCATGTGGAGGTTCCTTTTCATCGTTGATTCGTGTGTGAGTCTTCAATCCAAAGTAAAGGGAGACTCT